TAGTTGGCTTTCATTGCTTCGATTTATTCACGCCATACCTCGCGATAGGATATAAACTGTCTTCCTTCTTGACAGTAAACTCCATCTTTATTTCGGACATCAACAGTCTTATGGTGGTCTCCTTGAAAGTAGGCGGCCAATTTATTTCGGAGTAGTGACGTGATATCCTCGGTATTATGCTATTTATGTTTTAAGATTGGCCCGAATCTCACCGAGATACTATTCCTCTACGTTACACTTAATTTCGTATGTGCACTCCACCATTATCTTCTGGTGTACTCGACACGTTAAAAATTGGCGCATCGATCTGGACCTTCCATGGCTCCTGCGTGTATCAAATAGTTGCTGTCGGCTTCAAGCCCCTCAACATATCTAGGCTCTGTTGAGTGCACAATCATTTGTTCCCTGGATACTCAAAATTAGTCTCGCCTCGACACGCGTTTCACCCCTTACCATTTTTATCACCGCGCAATTTCACACTCCACCATACTTGGGCCATAGCTGAACAGCCCCACCTAAAGTGTTGGAATGTGTGCCTGTGCGTGTCATGGAAATTACTACGGAACATCCGATGCGAAAGGAAAAAACCAAACTCGACGAATATTACCTGCTCTTCTGCATGAGAAAACCACAGAGATCTTCATTCGTGCGTACTTAATTTGTCTCCTCCTCCCACCTTGCTTTCGTTCGTTCCTCGCCTCCCTTACCTGTCTCCACCATTCACCTTCTCTTCTTCCCACTCTCAACCTACCACCCACCTCCCCCCCTCCTTCGCCTAAACAAACAGACTAACAAGCTTTTGCCCCACCCCCTTGGGTCGATCTATTTCAGGCTTGGCATAGCCTGTTTCCACGAGAGGGATATCAGAGCTTCCACTTCGCGCGGTAGTCTTCGAAGTGACGGAAGTGCAGTATCACGAATCAAGTTATCACTGCCAGCTACCAGAAGTCGGCAGCTATTGCTGGAGATTAGGGATGAAGATCTCACGGTGACCTCATGATGATCGCGAAGCCTCAATGCCAGCGCGAATCTTCTCTCAGCCGCTCCGGCACAGATTGTGTCTGCGTATCGCCCTTGAACACCGGTACTAGATCGGCGAAGAGCATCGCTTGGTCATCATTCTTTTCAGGTATGGGCAGTTCCTCGAGGTCCGGGTCCACACTGCCAGATTGAGGTTCGATGTAAATGAGAGCAAATGCATGAAGGGAAAAAAAACATACGAAGAAAGCATCGTTACATGCGCCTTTTTTTCAGGATGATATTATTCGTGCATAGCATGCACAGAACATTGCTGTGGCAGGTCTTATTTGTGCTGATGGAAGCATAGGTATTATACTGTCACAAATCAAGTTCTCACCATCAAATATTCATTGGCAGGCATTGCAATGACCTGATGATCGCCAAGAACTTGCCTATACCTGAAGAAGTGCTATTTTCTTCATCATATCCCTCATTTATAATAATACATACATGACTCGGAGCCTCAACATACACTCGCTCAACTCTCAATATGCATAGAAAATGGGACAGGAGTGAAAAGGTCGAAAGGAAAGATGAGGCTGAGCTGGGTTACCTGAACGAACTATCCTTCGATCCGAGAAGCATAAGCCATAGCACGAGTGACATCTCTAAAAACAGACCAATAGCAAACAAGGAAGAATGGAGCCTCGGAGGTGATTCATGAACAAGAACTGACATGCCTCGAAATGTCAATAGAAGGATGTCCCGAGTGCGCGGGAGGGAGGTGAATGGATAGCCAAACTAACCAACAAAGGCGTCCTGGTCTCATAGGATGGAAAGATGTAGTTGGCAATCGTGAGTGTAATTCGCTCGCGAGCGTGATCGATAGGAGATTGAATTCGTGCCAATACGATCGCCACCTGGCCCTCTGAGTTCGCACCTCTGCATGACTCTTATAAATAAATGATGTTCTCCCCCCACTGCCTGTCTGACATGCAGTGTCTCTTTCCTCCATGTCATTTTCAAGCTACATCGCCTCTCAAGAGGAAGGTGATTTCCTCAACAAAGGCGAAATCTCAGGAATAGTAATTAGTGCTCTAAGTCAGTTAATAATTCCCTTGACAAGTACCCTCCACGCATCTCACTTACGACTATATTCGTAGTCATGGGGACCACCGTGGCATGGTTCTTACGACGCTGCTGCGCTAAGGGGCTTTTCAAGTTGAGCTCTGCCGATAACAAGGGTAAGCACGCACCAGGACCTTCTCTCGTCTGTCGGCTCATCCCGCTGACAGCTCTGACTAACCCGGATGCACCTGTTGATATCGAGATGGGGACAGCTCACGAGGCTCCCCATGTCATCACATTACCATCTGCCCCAGGAGATTGCGCGAGTGCAGTGACCGTTGATGCGTGACATATCCAAGAGCACAAAATTGAGAGTAATGTATATGAGTATCTAAACAACAATACCATTGGAGCCGCACCGCTCTTGACACCCCCACTTGGAGAAGAGGTGCAGTACAGATGCACAATAGAAATGACCTCAAGAATGTTTTCTCCCACTGACCAAAAACATTCTGAAGAAATCAAATCTTAACATCCACTATTTGTTGTTTTGGTTTGTTGCGCCTTCTTCCTCTGCAAGAAATGTGTCCTGGATGACATGTGCACACTCACTGTACTGTTATTGGAGTAGTCTAGTATAGTGACGCCTTAATCGTCAAGCTGGTCGTCCTAACGAGTGGCGGAAAATCGCCAAGAGACCCGGGAGGTCCATGGACGACAGATGAATGGTTGGGTAGCACGTGTCTGCGTGCACTTAGGTCAGGGATCGTAGGACAAGTCGAAATGATGAACTTATTGGGTACTTTCGTTCTCTTCTCGCGTGACACCGTGACACCATCTCGCCACGCATGAACAGCCCTGAACACCGAGGCTGGTATACCGCCGCCCCAAACCTGCACTCCTGTTCCACTTGCGACTGAGTGATTCCCAACCACCAGTACCAATAACTCCGAGCGGTTTGTACACTTCGCGAACGTAGGTCCTCAACACCGTTTCCTTGGAGCGCTCCAGAACTTCGAGAAGCGGCGCTTGGGATAGCTCTTGGGGTTGTGGTGACCGCGGAGCGAGGAGGGCGTTACGTAGGTTGTCGTAGATGTAGAGCAAAGTGGGTGTCGGATCTGGCGTAGAGGAGCTGTTCATCAGGAAGTGGTCGAATACGCCAGTCTGTGAGTTGATACCGCTTGTCCGGGGTAAAGCCACAGAACATCTCAAGGAGAGCGGCCAGGGGGTGTTTGGGAAAGTCTGAAGGCCGAGTCAGGCAACAAAGTAATGGGAGTACAGGAAGGCAAACCTAAAACGTTGGTACCGTGATATGTATCAAAAAAGTTCACAACATATAACCTGAAGTTTTGGTGTAGCCAGACAATGTCACTTTCTGCTCCATGAAACACCTGTGGGTCGTAAGAACGAGTTTTTGAGGCGAAAGCACTGAACGGACTTTGACAATATTTGGGTTTGTAAAAACCTCACTCAGAGCTTCTAGTTCCACTCTAATACCACTCCACGATCCAGTACTGTGTGCGAGTAGATATTTGCATAAGACATACAAAGCCTGCAAACGATCAGTATGAATGATGTTCGAAATCAACTGCAATCTCAGAAGCTTGTTTAAGGGCCTCGAGAAGAGAGGGGAGCTGAGATGCATGGGAAATGTATGTGACGGGCGGGGAAGATAGAAGAGGCTCTGGAAACTGGCGATGGGGGCGGGTGAAGGAGATGGTCTGGTGGTGTAAGAAAAATCTCATGTTCGTACGGATGTGAACTGCGTGGTCATGAATTACCTACTACGACTGAGGCACATTTCGCGTAGCGTACCTTGACACGGAATCCTCTTTCCCCAACGATTGATCCAAAGGAACTACAGCATAATGCTTGATTTTGAGCTGCGGCTTCCACGATATTATAGTATTTTTGTTGTCAACCGGTGTGCGGAAAAGACGCTGCGGTTTGGGTAGGCATGTGCAAGATATGGATATGGATCTAATCGACCACATTGGACCTTAGTGGCCTGAGATTATGTCAAGTTCATGTGGTTGAATAAAAGCTACAGTTGATAGATACTGCAGCGGGTCCTAAATGACAATTATGGCAGGTTTCTTAAAACAGCAGCGCACCACTCACAGCTCTTTCAAAGTTCAAGTATTGATATCGACTACAAGCGAAAAGCCATCCACTACATCATCCTCGCTTTCGAGCCGACGTTTTCCCTTGCTCTTGCCAGTTCCCAGACTTGGAACACCTTCAAGCTCATTTCCTGTATCTACGTACTATAAAAGCCAGGATGTTATAGCCAGTATTCAGTCAGAGCATGCGTCTAATCTCTTGCCAAAGTTTCTGTCCAGCGAGCGGTGGTAGGTGAGAGAAATTTAGTGGCGGAAACAGCTGCTGACTGAAGCGCGGTTTGGAACTCATCATCGAAGGAGGTAGACGGTGAAGGAGTGGTTGAGTGCTCATCGTCAGTGCCCTGTGTGCCTGGCGTCTATGCATTGCTTATGTCATTGGACGTTTGTTCCACCTCACGATGAAGAGCTGGCCATAGAGTGCTCTGGAGAGATGAATCTGTATAGTAGGTATGATTCACAGCTGTGACAGCAGTACTAGACTGACAACTGACCCAGTTTGGACTGTAGCCTGTATAGCCGTAATTTGTTGTATTTGGCAAACAACACGAGGAATCAAGAGCAGAGTGGCAAGGTAGCGTCGTGATTCCTAACCTATGTCTTTATGATGAGTATTAGTTCCACCTTTGGTCAGAATATATCCGATAAATATTCATGGTTATTATACGTCCATACTACGTAGGTATGTTGCGGTCTTGTTCGGGGCCAGAGTATAGCTTCATCATCGGGATTGCTTGACATTGGAATCCAAAGACCGTATAGAAGTGCTTTTAATAACAATAGAAATATCCGACCGTAGATTAATTTGTAGAAGCAGAAATGTAATTTTGAATATTACTCTCATCATGGCAAGGTCACGTAGTGCAATGGGCATAGCCCAATTATCAACGCTGAGCTCTTCCCGGTTCAAGTCCGGGCGTGACCAAATTTATTGCTGTATAGTTTAGGCTTAGCATTAGTAACCACACTTGTACACAACATTATTGATAAGTCTCCAGGTGTTGTCATGTGTGTAGATGTTTTGGAAAGACTGACCTAAATGTAGCTTCAAAAAGCTTCATGAAGATATCATACAAGTTGTTATTGAGCTGTGACACTATCATCTCATGTAAGTCCTATTCATGCAACCTTTCTGCATTAGTTACATATAGTGCAGGTCCTATTCTTGTTCCTTTTCACAGTTGGCTCAATTATTTGTCCTTTACACAACCTGGTAACTGTATGAACAACTCTCATCTCTGGTGTAATAGCTGTGAAGAACAAGCCATTTGGAGAATGGATGATCACAGTTGGATTAGGATCAATTCAGCATAGTTGAAGTCTCTCTGGACATTGAGAATGATTTGAGCATCCTACTGGAGTTCAAGCCACCACATGGTCTCCTGGAGATACCCTCTGCTTTTCTCTTTCAAGTTGTTCTGCTAACAATTTCAGCTTTGAGATGAGGAAGGATCCACCTTGAGTTGTATTAACTTGTTTCAACAGCCTACACCACCAGGTTGTTAAGGTGTTAGAGATGCGTGCCTGATTTGATGTCGGGATGTTAGGATTGTCCGGATTTGATGTTGGGATCGGATGTGGTCGGAACTCTCCTTGACCGAGATCGGTAGTCGCAATATTCGGAAATGTGCAGAATACTGGATGACTCGGAAGTCGGAGATCCGAAGACTGATCTATATGGGCATTGGCTTCAACTTATGGGTTGCACCCTCTTGGATTTCTAGTGCCCTGGTATTTTGGACTGAAGACCGGAAAGTGTGATTGGGGTTCCAATTGGTTGGGTCTATTCGGAAGGTCAGTGCCAATGATGCGTTGAGACTTATCAGAGATGAGTGGGGGCTTCAGATATTCAGGAATGGAATAGTCAATGCAGATAGAATAGGGGTAACGATAAATCAATATCAAGTAAGGGTTAGCTTTACTGGAAAGCAAGTATAATCAAGGAGGGCTTGGAATGTCGGATGAGGTAGGGTCAGAATAATTGGAATACCGAACAAGGTTTGAAGGCCTTATTGCAGGTAGAAGTTTTGGAGCAACGAAGTGTAATAAAGGTTGAATGATAGAGGATGGGTGGGATATATCAGGGTGTTACGAGTTATATTGGAATAACAAGTTGAGATAACGAGATATGAAGGATGCAAGATATGTAAAAAGGGTATAAGATATACGATAAAGAGATAGAAGGTGATATGAGAGATAGTGATATGAAAGGTAGTGACATGATATGATTTACAAGCTAAAGAAGCCTGATCAAGAGAAAACATATTTGAGACATGCAGGATTCCGAAATCAGGAATGGAAGATAAGGGTGCGTGATATGGAGTTCCGAAGTTGGAGCAAACACAGAAATCAAGATAAGACGTACGGGGATAATATCAAAATAGAATTGTGACTAAGAATAATAAATGAGGACATGTTGGAAATAAGCGGAAAAGGGCTTATCAGAATACGTGAAATGTTGGAATAACACAAGTCGGATCTGAGATCTAACAGTATCTCCCTTTTATGGCCAAGCCCTTGAGGCTGATTACACTATTGAATACCATGGGAAGTTTTGGGTGTCGGTTATCCGTAAAGGCTGAGATCTTGGATCAGACATATATATAGGGAAAACACTTTGTGGAAATGCAAATCACTTTTTGATCCCCTACCACCACCACCCAAGAAAAAATGCCATCATGTTCCAGGTTGTCATTGCCCACCTGCTCTGTTATTGAGATCAGCTCTGGCAAAGAACTTGCTGCCGAAGTGAGGGAGTATGAGCAGAGAAGGGTGGAATTGGAGGCCAAGATGCAGAAAAGGGTGAAGGCAAAGTGGGAGAAGCAGGAGAAGGAGGCGGCGGAACAGTGGGAGCGGGATTGGAAGGAGAAGGAGGAACGGGAGTGGAAGGAGCAGGAAGAACGGGATGAGAAGGCAAAGGAGAAGGAGGATGCGAATCGGAGAAAGCGGAAGGAGGAGGCAGATCGGAGAAAGCGGAAGGAGGAGGCAGATCGGCAGAAAGCCGAATCAACACGAGCAGTGCAAGAGGAGTTGAGGCGGGAGGAGGCCCGACTCAAAAAATTTTCGGTAAGTTGGAATTTGTCTGCTGATTGATGGATTGACAGAAAGATCAGACTAGCCGAAGAAGGTCAACCAAGAATGGAAGGTAGACTGGAATCTGAAAGGCAGTTTGGAATTCATCGGAGGCTGCAAATGGCGTCTCGAGGACATGTGGTCAGAGGCTGATGACTTTGACGATAGGTGCATGCTCTGTCAGACACAGGAGCTGGAGTGTATCGACAAGGAGCAGAAAGCCGGGAAATCACAGAAGTGGGCATGCATCCAGTGTCAGAACGATTGGAAGAAGTGCACGAGGCCAGGCGATGCAGATTTTGCGGCGGAGATGGCAGGAAAATTGTCGTTGCTGGCATCCAGGCGGGTTTGGGTGGAGAACACGGAGGCTAGACCATGACCGGCGACAAAAAGGCATCAGGCGGAAGGGGTCGCAGATTGGGAAGGGGTGGCGTCATTGGGGAAGGGTAAAGGAAAGGAGTGGGTGACAGGGGATGATGCGGAGGACAAGGTGGAGGATGCGGGGCTTGCAGCGGAAATCTGCGGGCTCCGAAAAACCATTCATTCCCTCACAAAGTGGCTTCGCTACAATGTGGAGGGGATGGCAGCTTTCAACGATACGTTGAAGAAGTCACACTGGATAGTGGAGATCGAGTTCAGGTTCCGGAAGAAGCGGTGGGAGACATACCACGGAGCGTCGGCACCGCAACCAGTGGCAGGCTTGGAAGCCGGGTCAGTGGGAGGGGAACCCCATTTCATGTGGTTCTACACTTCCCTATTATCTCTTCTTCCTATCTATTCTTCCCCCCATTATCTCCCTTGCCCCTATCTTTTCGTTCAAGTTCGCTTATTTAAGCGCCCGGTTACGTAACAGGATTGAATTCCAATCCCATTATGTAATCACAGTACATCCCGGCGCTTATTTGCGTACTCCTTTAGGTAGTTATCTTGGCAGTGGGAGCCTTAGGCTTTTCTCTTCAGATTCCCATCTGCCAGATGTGTATCCTTGTATGTAGTCTTCTGTGAGCTTATATACCTTTGGATTCCCATCTGCCAGTGTTCAGTGTGATATTCCACTTCCCCTGGAGGTTGCCCTTATAGTAGAAAAGCCTGACAACTTACTGGACTGGCTGCTGTTGCTATTGTCTCTGAATCGACTTCTTCAGGTGCATAGCAGTTCAGAACCCTTCTGGTACACTTCTACATAGCACCCTATATTCCATCTATCTCCACTATGTCCACACCCATCTCTGAAGACCCTATTTCCTTTGATTTCCAAATGGGTTACAATGAGCTTCACCAACATGTTGCTGTCCTAGAGGCTGCCCTACATGTTGAAAGAGAGGAGAAGGAATTGTTATCACAACAACTCCGGCAAACAGATGTCCAAGTACACACCTTGAACCATGATGTTGCCAACCTCATGACCACATCACTCTCCCCCACCACTCACAAACGTGCAACACCTGCCACTCCAGCTGACTTCAGTGGTGACAGAGAGAAAGGACAAGCCTTCCTAAACTCGTGCAAGCTCTACCTTGCCCTATGCCCAACCCAATTTGCCAATGATCATGCCAAGGTCCTCTGGGCCCTGTCATTCATGAAATCTGGTCATGCCTCTTCATTTGCCACACGCATCTTTGAGATGGAAACCAAAACTGGCAGGCATACTCATCCTTCTTGGGCTTCTTTTGAAAAAGCATTCAAATCAACATTTTTCCTTCCTCATGAAGAGACTACTGCCAGGACCAAGCTTGAGTCTCGTCAATATTATCAAAATCGTCACATGGTTGATGATTACATCGATGAATTTGAGGAACTGGTTGAGAAGTCTGGGTATATGGAACAAGCCTCCCTGGTCATGAAATTTCATCACAGTCTAGACCCCTCTGTCCAGAGTCGGATTGCAAATATGGTTGAAGGATGCCCCTCAGACGATGACCTTTCTGAATGGTTTTCAGTGGCTAGGACAATTTCACAGGCACATTGTCGGTTTACTTTCGGAAATGGATCCAAGAGACAGTGGGTAGCGGTGTTGTTGTTGCACGGCTACTTACACTGGTGTTCGGCTCAGTGTGCTTTGCTATCAGCCGCAACAAAGGTAGAACGAAGACGAAGATGAAGACGTAGCAGTGATGAAGATGATGACGTAATATGCTGACGTAAGCGTAGACGAGATACAACAGCAAATGTCACGTGATTGACAAAGCTGGCCTTGACGTAGACGTAGTAGTAGTAGTAGTAGTAGACTTAGAAGACTTAGACTTAGACGAGTGAATCCAACTCAAAGAGGTGAATTGGGGTACACTAAGGCAAAACAGGCCTTATATACATGAGCAGAACAACAAACGATGTGAGTATGCCATACAATGATGTCGTCGACAGCAGACAGGAGAAATGACTAACAGCAAGAGGCAGAAAACCAAAATAGGAAGGTGGTTTGTAAGGCAATGGAAAAATGAGTCAGGTGGTCGAAGAAATGAATAGAAATCAGCGAATTGGAAATAGAAGCCAGAAATAGAATAGAAGTGAGTCACAGACAATAGACCATGTGGAACAATTGGAAATAGAAGTACAGCTAAGAAGTGAGTGAGTCAGGTGATGAAAATGAGTCATAGCCGTCCAATAGGATTCCGGTTGCTTGTCAAATATCTCCGAAGATGAGTAAGTGAGTCAGGTGACTTGATGACGACTCAGAAACATGTGAACCAATTACGACACTTGGATACACATTTCCTCCAGAGAGGGAACGAAGACAAGTCCTGCTTGATGAAACATAACCGTAGCAAATCTCTGTTCCTGGTCCATGCTCTTTGATGTACCAGTTATTCCTGAGGACGATACGATACCAACCATTCACTGGTTCAAAGTTTG